TTAATATAATAAACAATTAATTATATATCAATTATTATATACATTTTATTAATAATTATAAAATATATTATAAAATAAATTAAAACATATTTAATATAAAATATTACATTTATTAAATATTAATTATTATTTATATATATTAACAATATATATAATTATTTAAAAAAATAAATTAACAATAATATAAAATTATTTATAAACGTAAATATTATTAAATAAACATAAAAAAAAACTTAATAATTAAACATTTTACGCCATTATAATTAAAAAAAAACAGTAAAATAAAAAAAACTAACAAAAATATTAAAAGAATTATATTACATAAATATTAAATAAATTTTATAATAAATTTCTTTAATTTATTAAAAAAACATTAACCATATATAATTACATTTTTAAATTAAAAAAATATAATAATTTTTATTTAATATTTAACACGTAATTTTTATAAAATTAACAATTAATTAAATATAATAAATATACACGTAAAATAATAAAAAAAAAATATTATTTATAAAACAATTAACCACATAACATAAAACACTATTAACTTATAATAACTTTAATAATAATAAATTAATAAAAAATTAAATACGTATATATTTATAAAAAAAAAAAGTTTAATTAAAATATATACGTTTAAAAATTAAATATTATAAATAAAACAATAAATTATTAAACATAAACTTTATTATAATAACTTTTAAACTATTAAAAATTATTATATTAATAATATATATTAAATTTAAAACTTTAATAATATATTATTATAAAATAAATATAATAACATTAATTTATTTTTAACTTATATTTAAAATAAACATTTAATTTATAATATATAATACGTTAATAAAAAATTATTAAATTAAAATAAATAATATTTATAAAAATAATTAAATTAAAATACGTTAAAAAAAACATCGTAATAATTAAAAACAATTATATAAAAAAAAAAAATAATATAAATTTATTATTACATATAAACCAACCATTAATAAAACGTTACCGCTTATAAAATGGCTTTAATTATATATATAATTATTTTCGTAATTTTTATATAAATTTAATAATTAACAATATTACGCAACTTATTTAAATATTATTACTGATTGTAATACTATATCTTAAGTCTTTATATTCGTAAGCATAAACGCACACAGGTCCTAGGCAGTGGCAGTGCTTCTAGGCTTCGTAAAATATTACCCACCTAGGAGGTAAGGCCTAGTAAACCGGCCAATGGGAGCCATATGGAAATTTAGCAGCTTTAGCTGCCTAGATGCCTAGCTGCAGGCCTGCCAACTTGCAACGTCGAAAACCTAAGGTACCTCTTAATGTACCTATGCCGACGCCCGATTGAAACGGCTCGCTTAGCTCATGTCAAACCTTAAAAGTTTCTACATAGCGTGTACTTCCAAGATCCACTTACGTAATTGAGCCATTTCCAGCATATACGAAAGGTAATATTTCCCGAGGAGTAAGAAAACTACAGCACGATATTCCCTTTAAGCAAACACCACGTTCTCGCCAAGTCCCAATTCGCCAATTTCGATGGAGAGATATGCTGCAGATTCCCGTAGCAGGCAGCAACATACATGGAAAATCAGTGCATACATACCTATGTATGTACCTAATGTATGCATCCTACCTACCTCATAATGTACCTACATCATGTTACGCTGCGGCCGAATAAACGAGCCATACAGAATTGACGCGTCAACTTATACATAACCCGGTGAAAAGAATGACCAAAAGCCATCTTTGCACTTCATATCATTGCGCTTACAAAATGCCAATATTTCCCCAAGAGCATCGCCTCCTCCTGATGGAAGATGCGCACGTCTAAACCCCTGCTAATGGGCCTTGTAATGCGGCTGCTTACTCGTCCGTCGTTATAGGTGCAGGATTGAGATCGGCGGGCTACACCGGTTGAAGGGCTAGATCTGACGACAAAACCTAACCCATACCTGTACTTTCCAACCTTACTGTATTATATTATCTGCCAAGGTAGCTAGTCGCGTAAACGTTTTAAAAGCCGCATTTATGTATTGAGCTCCTGACTTAGTCGGCCATGAAGCCACCAGCATAGTCGTCATCTATCATAAAGCCCCCAGCTTCATCGCTGTCATCACTTTGCTGTGCCACGTCCTCCATGTCGGGCTCCTGTACTACCCCTTTTCCATTATCAACGTCAGTAGTATCTTGATTATTAGTTTCCTCTTCAGAGTCGACACCTTCCCAGATCCGTTGCCGAACCCTAAGGCCCCTCAAAAATAATTTCCAAGTCTTGAGAGCTTCGCGGGTCCGCAATTCTTTTTCTATGTCGGCTTCCCGGTCTTGAAGACCTGTGATCACGGCCCGGACAGCCTCCTCATGTTCTGCGGCAACGACCACTCCATATAGGACCGCTGTGCCTTGTCTACCCTTAAATTGAAAGCCAGTGAGGGCGGGCGCGTAGTCTACCCCCAGTATGAAGGCGGCTCGGGCGCCGAGCTCGTCAGCCACGTAGGCACCGCCCTCCGGAACCATGCTGGGCACGTAAATATCCAGATTTCCAAATCGGTTCTTCGGTACTCGCCCGTTGACAACCGGGGGGTGTTTGAATTGTACAGTCTGATTGATTGTGAATATTGGCGTTCCGACTGTCCCGTCGGGATCGCCATCCTCATCGTCATCAAGTGAATCTGTCTTCTGTTTCGCGCGTTTAGGTAGGAATTTAGCAGGTATCTCATTCGGGAGAACCTCTCTACCCATTCGATACCACTTTTCCCTGCTGCGAGCAATCTGTACATCCCTGCGCCTGTAAATCTTCTCTAGGGGGCCGTTACTACCAGCCCCTATAGTTCCTGACGCAGAAGCACCAGGCACAAGTACCTCGTTCCGCCTAAAGTGACGTTCGAGTGCATATATAGGATGGTCCTTGAAGTCAGCAATGTTACGAGGCATCGGCTCCCGTAACTCAATGGCTGTCAATTCGTTATTCTCAATCTGATCTAGGTCTGAAGTGAACCCGCGGGAGAAAGCCCTAAGGACTTTCCGCCACCACCTTTCACCAGTAGCTTCTGCGCTTTCGATTCGCATCCTTCTTGTTTTTGCATTGAACGCTTTCGCATAGCGGCGAGTTACATCTTTTGCCGTGCCATCAGCTTCAAAGGCAACAACGTAGGTCATACAATTTTCCCTATCAGAAGCTGGGGGTTCCATTTTCTGAGGTTTCCAGAACGAGTCTGTCACTAATGGGTCGACGGGTTGCCATTTCTGGTGGGCTTCGTCTAGAATTTCAACCCAATAGACAGGATGTCGTGATTCCCGGATCTTTTTAGGCACAGGAGGAGCTTCGCGAGATGAACTAGCAGTATGGACTATAGGAACCTGGAAAGCCATAGCGTTCGGATGCCCTAACCGCCTGCGGATTGGGCAAACGGTCTCCTCTGGTGAATCGACCGTATTACTATTATTATTTGCAGTATTCTGTTGCATCTGTGCATATCGCGCTGCGATGGATAGCTTTCCTTCCGGTTTTGGCGGTTTCCCTAAAGGAGGGCCTCCGGAAGCAAAAGTAAGAGGTTGAAGGGAACACACGAGCCTAGCCTCAACCCCAGCGCTGCGGAGAAGTGCACAATACAATTGTGCGCCGACATCACGCGAGCCACGGAGAGATTTTGCCGCTTCTCGGAAATCTGGCTTTTCTCTAGACGATTCTGCATCGTCTGGGAGCTTGTACTATGAAGATGAATTAGTCTACTCTCCATAATAAAAGAAACCAGGTGGGCGTACGCCTTTAAGATGCTCTTCGTTCTCAGCCCAAAGTGCCCGCCGAAGTCCTCGCTCGGTGATCTGGAATTTTGTTTTATACATGGTTCCCACTTGCCCTAGACCATCCTTAAGGGACTGTGCCCGTCCGAATTGAGTAAGCTGGGTCCCCGGGTTGAGATATTTGACCATCTTCTTAGTCAGGAGTGTTCGTAGCGTGTCCTGAACGACGGCATCATTGCACCACCGATTTCTACGAGCGACATGGGCTAAGAGGCAGAGCAGATGCGTCTTATGTATTTCAATTCGACGATCCTTCTCTGCCCTGCTGATCGGCTTTCGCCTATCAACAGTCTTCTGGGCACTTGTAGCAGTCTGCGTCGAAAAGTCAAGCACCAAATCCTTATTGGCATCTTTGGCATCTTTGGCATCTTCGGTATTATTTAAGTTCGGAGGTACCGAGAAATCGACATCCTCAAATTGTATATCATCATCGTCCTCATCTTCTTCATCTGAATCTTTATATATCGTCTGTACAGTCGCAGCTGGTAACAGCACATCCTCGAACTGTATATTCTCTTCATCGTCTGCATCCTCAATCTTCGGCGTTATCTCCGGGGGATTCGGTTTCTTAGGCGATTCTTCATTTTTCTGGTCGGGTCGCCGCCTTTTTAAAGGCCGCTCAGGTAAGGGCGCATCAGACTGGACATCGGCTTCGACAAGCATTTGGCGATAGATATCCGGAACATTGGAGCGCCTCGCACTGGACCTTGTCTGTCGGGAAGACCCAGAGGCCGTCGTGTTCGTCGCATGATTTCTAGATGCTGCACGCTTCCTTCCGGCCATCAGAATGTATTCATAAATTATAATATATTAAGTAGGGTATTAAATGGGTGTTAAATGTAAACGTTGTGTCAGCAGCGACAAATATAATAGCTGGGGATACATGGTGCCATTGCAAGTTTAGGTAGTTGCCTTACAAATGCTTTAGAAAGGCGCCTAAGCTTGACGTAAGTGTTCGGCATTTGGTGCAGCCGCGAACGAGGGGCAGGAATGCGATGCGACAATCTCGAAGGCACGTGACTTTACAGTTTCGCGTTTAATGAGAGCCATAATAGGTTAGGCACTTCTTTCTATTTCTACTATAATCTATTATTTTACCATCACTTGTCGCTTTCTGCATTCGTCGCAGATTAATATCTCCGGCATACCTTAGGTACCTAAATGTAACACTATTACCTCAGGTCACATTTAGTTCAATTTGTTATAACACAATAACTACCTCTTATTATTATATGTATTTATTGCGTACCTACCCTAAGGTAGTAGATATCCTCCCCAAAGTCCCGCATCAAGTTCTGCGCGTCCCTGAGTGCTAGCTACCTGTCTTTGATTCCTAACTCTACTTTTTGCTGCGTCCTATTTCGCTGGTCTCGACAGACAGCACCGTTCGCCTACACCTTAACTACCAGCAGAACGACTTGTCGAAGAAGTAGAAGCTATAGCTAGTGCTTCAGCCTCGTCTTCGGCGTCGGCCATCTCCCTCGCTTCTTGAAGAAGCCTATCCCAGCATTCATTACACATCCCCTCATTCCATTTGATGACAACTTTGTCCACCTCACCTCTAGGTCCTAAGCATCTCTTGAACAATTCAGCGCATGTCTTGGGTTGCATGAATCCCCAACAAGAGCAGCCGTACCAACGCTGGTATAGCTCCTTACACATCGTCCGGGAGCGATAGTGGAGAATGGACGAATTATAGATGAGAACGAATGATACTATAGTAGATCGAGTATTATGGTTCTTCTCGTGCCAAGACGGTGTAACGCCGGACGTTAAATTCGCAAGCCTCAAATTACTGTTGAGTAGAACTTCGAAACTTGGATATTCGATACCTGTCTTTCGTTTCAATCCCCTCCACTGTCAATCAACAATAAGTATTGGATGATCGAGAACCCTCTTTGGCTGTCTAATAACAGCGTCGATCACTTAAAGTTGTCCGGTTGTTAACTCGCCAACATCGCAGTGTTGGCGTCGCGTACTGCCGTTCCCGTGTTTTGAAGAATCTGTTTATAGCGATGAATTCTAGTTGTCTAGTAACAACATGATCATGCTAACAGGAATAAATTGACTTGAAACTTGGTGAGACCATAAAATAGTCGAACGACGAAACAAAAGAAAGCGAGCTTCCGTGGCTTCGTCACTTCGTGGCTATATGGAGTAATGTTCATGAGACAGAGATGTTTTCGTGCCGGATCAGATCACCAATGTATTTCTACGATACTTACAGCATTTCAGGGCTCTGTGGCCTAAAACGGCGGTAACGGCAGCTGCAATGAACCCCACTGTGGCTTGCTGTCAGAATCCCGGGTTGAACTACATTACCCAAAACCACGTTCGGCCGTATGACACAGCTGCTTAAATGTGGTGTTCGGGAGAACCATTCGTTCCACATACTTAGATACACGAGGACACGAGGCATTTTCAAGGGGATCGAGATCTCTTTCATACATACATAGTACGTCTTTAATATGTCACAGGCCGTCTTCGGCACAACACGGTGAAGCACCGGGAAGATCATTCATTTAAACCCCTGAACCCGGTCTGCGAATTGCGAACCTGCGAACCTATATAATATCTAGGTGAAGGCAGTTCGAGAACGTTCCACGATCGGAACCTTCTTGCATTCAACTGCATTTGCTCGCATGAACGTCGACGAATTACATGAATTAGCCGCATGTAACTCCCCAACATTTTTATCAGCCTCAATATGTCTCAACCTTTATACTCTCCCCTATTATACTAGTAAAGGACACCGAGAGGGTATTCTGGAGAAATATTGGAGACATTTGGGTGCATCGTCGGCACCGAAACATAAGGTTTTGTCGGCACGGTATCGTTTGCGAACGCCGGCGTCTTGCGCAATGGTCGAAGGCAAGTAAAGTGATTAGCAATGTTAAGCAGCTTCTCCTCGCTGAATGGAAGGCCTAATATCTCCATTCCAATGGGAACACCAATTGGCGCGTCCAGCGATGGTTGCGAGAATCCGACTGGAACGGTGACCACGGGAACGCCGGTCAGTGCGGCAAGAATGCCATTACGTCCAGCCTGGGACGGCGAGCCGATTTTGACTACGAGATTTTTCTGCTCCGGGTAGATAACAGCATCGAGCTTATTGCTAACGAATGTTTTATTAACTGCTGCTTTGAGGCGATCGATTCCTTGCTTAGCCGTTGTATATCCCAGATCAGCTAGCGACCGAACCCTAGAGTTGTTTATGAAGCTATATTGAGCAGGGATAACCAGGAATTTTCCACTCTCATATACCTCGTCCCAAGTAGTCGGTCTATCCCCGGTAAGGTTAGGACTGGACAGGTAATTATTCAGTGATTCTTTGAATTCATATTGCTGGACATCGAAATCGGCTATTGATGATGTGTTGTAGATTGATTCTGTCACGTTGATGATTTCGACACCCTCTGATTTGAGGAAGTCAATGGTGCTTTTCAGAGCGTCGATTACCGGAGTCGTCTCATCAGATGCCGTGTGGTTCCAGAATCCGTTCAACAATCCAATTCGAAGTCCATTGAGACTTCCGTCATTTAAACCTCGTGTATAATCCATTCCTCTGCCGTCCGGTGGGACAAGGAGAGTAGCATTATCAGCTTCGTCAGCGCCAACGCTCGCCATTACGGTTAGTGCAACCGCAAGGTCTTGGATACTTCTTGCGATGGGCCCAATACTGTCCTGTGTGAAGCTGACGGGCATGATACCTGCTCTCGATATAAGCCCCCGAGTCGGACGCACGCTGACGAGATTATTCGCGCTTGCCGGACTACGGAGACTGTTGACGGCATCCGTACCTGTGCCAAAGACTGCGAAGCTAGTTGCAATCGCGACACCGGTGCCACCACTACTACCCCCCGGAGTCCGGGTTTGATCGTATGGGTTTATCGTCTGACCTCCTAGCGATGACACTGTGAGGCCCTCCAGCGCCACTATTCCAGTCTTGGTCAGCATAGCTCCCATACGTGAAAATATCCATTTAGAATCCAGAGGACACGTACTTTCATGCAGATTCGTTTTACCTAGAATCACGGCACCTTCTTTTCTAAGTGCCTTGACGGAAGGGGTATCGACGATGGGGCGGTTGCCGGCCAAATCAGCACACGACCCTGTCGTGTTCATGCCCACAGCGTCATAGTTGTCCTTCAGCAAGACGGGAACACAGAGAAGCTTGCCTGCTAGGTCGCCGGCGGCAAGTTTCTTATCTAACTCATCTGCTGCGAAGAGAGCATCAGGGTTAAGACTAACGATTGCATTGATAGTCGGATTAAATTTCTCAATCCGGGAAAGGAAAGAAGACACCACAGTACGACAAGTAGTCGACTTCGTGACAAGCGCAGTCCGTACGCTCTCAATTGTCGACTCTAGAGGTTCGAACACATCAGTGTTAGCTTGGACAGTCGATATCTGAAGGGATAATGTGCCGAGTATCCAAAGTATCACAGACACTCGGGCGCGTAGTAAACCATCAGTAACGGATGTGAAGAATCTCATACTCGGTTCTGGTGTTTAAAAAAGGCAACTTGCATATAAATATCTTTTAAACTCAATCGATACTTTTGCTAAACCCGGGTTTATATTAGGTTCGTTACAATACATGATCATAGCCTCCAAGATAAGGCTCTTAGTTTGCTAGAATCATTTAGGTGGGAATTCTGGGCTCTTGGGTTCCACAAACAGCCACAATTCCATTTCTCAACTATACTCTCACATAATACGAGTAGCATTTCTCGCCAGCAGATCAAAAGAGCGATATCACCTTTCAAGCGGATGTTGATTGATAGTTGATTCTATTCCGAATCACATTGACACTTCCAATTCACCGAAGGTGATATATGAAGCGCAGATATGATAGATTCGAATTCCTGACAGTGTAAGTACTGTCAGCGGACTTATCACTACCACTAGGCAAGTTAAAATTCTCTTAACCTACCTCTCACATAATACTATATCCATTCGTAAAAATATGATAATTGGGGACCCGCGTAAACGCCTTTCTATATCGTGTAACCGGGGTTTGGGAAGACAGGTTACTTACCAAAGGTAACCTATCAAAAGAGACAAATTGATGGCCGATCGGATTCTATCTACATTGCATATCCTTATCAAAACGAATGCTGTAATTCCCAACAACCCTTTACATGTATAGATGGTATACGCTAAAGAACTATCAGTCGAATAAGCTAGCTTCGCCGCGTAATCGCGGGCGCCAGAAGAACCAACAGGCCCGCGATGGAAATAAGCAGGAAGCGAGTCTTGTGATAAGACAATCCGTTCAACAGGTACGCAGTGGGCGTGTGGTAACTGATAATGTGAATTAGTACCATCCTGTTTGTTGCGCAATGTCGGATGGTGCTCTTATATCACATTTGACAGGCTCGCAATGGATAAGTACTTGGCATGCCACTTCATATTCATTAACGATATGTAAAAGTCAGTCCCCGTTGCAGACCCAGCGTCTTGGGACGGCGTCTGATTGGCCAGCCTTGAGGCTTGCGGTGTACGGCCAGCAGGGTCAGTGTATGTATGTATTACGAGAGCCGGGTCTAACGCTTTGTTCAATTCGAATACCGCATTCAGAAAGTCGTCGTGGGTATGTTAGGACCTGGTTGGACGATCTGGCGATACCCTGGGTTTCCATAGGCAGGGATTGGGGAAATCGGGCCATGGTCCCCCTGTATGAGCACGCAATCTACGGTGAGGGAGAGGTATTCTGGGGATGATGCAGGTGATGGTTGCCAAGTATCGAGACGCTTCGGAATTGGTCCAGGTGTCGTGATTGTAGGTGTGTAACTGAGTTGGTCGATCATCACTCAAGCCCACGAGCTATCATCACATTTCAAAAAGCAGTCAGGTGAAGCAGTAAACTACTTCAATTCATTGTCCCTATGTACAAATCGTATCTCGTGAGAACAAGGGGAGAATGGCATATGTAATGTAATCTCTGTACCTCGGTAATTCCGCAAGGACCAATCCAAGATTCCACCAACTGCAGCCCCCGCAGTCTCCGTCTTTTAACGAGACGATACATGGAACTCGAGCTTACGGGAGGATAGGCCATCTTTCTTCATCGAAGAAACAGCACGAGACCCCTTCCCTTAGAACCCGAAAATCTCATCATACTAATGAGATGTGACGCCTCTTTTAGGCCTCACCCTGACGTTGCCCTCTTGGAGGGCTTTGTCTGAAATGTCGGCAAGCGGATCCTTCTTGTCGAACGCGTAGCCGGCGCGTTCGTCCCGCGACATCTTTAAGATGTTGAATCTTTCACCGCCGATCTTGTACTCCTTGGAGAACTTCTTGAACTACGAGACGAGCACGTATTAGTAAGACTGGGTAGTTTATATCACCGGGAGGTTCTGCAGGGTGAACTTACCTTCCTCTTCCAATCCCACCTGTCGGTCTTTGGCGCGCCAGAAATCGGCTTAATCTTGCCCGCCCTTTCTAGCGCCTTGATTTTCTCGTCCGTACCGTAGCATCCGGCCAGGCTTAGATCGATACCGGCTTTCTTCGCGTAGCTGACGACTTCCTTGCGGTGCGGCAGCTCGAGGTCGGGGATCTCTAAGTCTTCAACCCAGTAAAGGTAGAACGTCATGATCAGCCCTAAGTCTTTAATCTCGGAATCAGCCTTGAGCATCTTGGCCCGGTCAAGCTCGTTGAGCACCGTGAGCAGAGCACGGCCAACGAGGTTAACGGTGGTATTTATCCTTTGCACGTCGCCCGTTGCTATTTACGCGAATGGTTAGTTAGTTGGTCACGATATGCTCTCCTCAGCTTTCTTAAACTGACCTATCCACCCGTGAAGGGGAATTTCTAAAAGCCACTGCATCATAGCGGCTACAATCGCCCACATTTGCTTTAGGGCTCTCTTGCTACGCTTCTTCCGCGTAAATTCTTTATCAAAGGCAATGAGCTAACAATAGTCAGTTAGTCGGTTCCAGTAATGAGCCTAATGTGATAGCTGGTAGCCCCTTACCATGTTCTCAATCATTTCCTGCATGCCCTGGCCGTGGAAGTGCTTGTGAATATGCATTTTGAAAAAGTCGGGGTTAGTGTACGATGCCCGCCTTTCCCACGAGGAAAACAGTTTCCAGGTCTCCCACATGGCGATCCACCGATGGTCTGGATACTCGGTGGCTGGCTTCATCTCGATGTTGTCTTCGGCTCGGATTTCCTTGTTGTATTCATCAAGCAGGTCATCGTCGTCAAGCTGGTCGTCCTCATCCTTATCCTCATTCTCATTTTGTATGTCAAAGAAAGGACGGAACATGCAATAATACTCATAAGGAGGACGGAGATCCGAGCTGTCCTCAGGAGTCTATTAAGAGGTTTGAGTAAAGCTACTTTCATATAGAGAGGATAAATACATACCTCATCCTCATCTTCCTCTTCCGAGCTAATGTTCACTTCATCGCTTTCGTCCACCCATTCTCCACCTCTTGTAATTCTTGGTGGTCCGGGCCGTTCACCTGGATTCGATTTTCTCCGGGATGTGAGGAAGCCCGGGGGTGAAAATCTATATATGAGATATGCGGATACGAGAACCGGCGCGATCGACAGCACCAGCGTCCTCTTGGATGGAATCGTGCTTAGCGAAGCCATCGCGAGGGTCTTGCGTCAGTCGCAAATTTCGTTTCAGCTCTTTTTTTTTTTTCCAACCTTGAAACCGCTTTTATCGTGTCATGCAAGTCTTTTTCTTTCCCTTGTTCATCGGCCCACTACGAAGACGCGAATCGATCGCGGCTGGTCACGTTTTTAAGGACGAAATAGTGGATGGCGGCTTGGGTCTGACGCTATGGCCACGTGCGGAAATACAGCCCCTCCGGATGTTCAGACCGCCCTTTCAGGCACAGGCATTGAATGCCCCATGTCACTATGTAAATATATTAACGGCGCTTACGACGATGGTATTTAAGCCCTCTACCTAGAGTCAAGCGTCATTGATTTTTACTTGTAAAGAGATATGTCTCTCTCTCTCTACGATACTAAGAGTCTTTCTTATTTCCATCTCAAACTACCCGAGTAAATATTTCAAAATTTTTAATGACAAATTCTACGACCGAGCAAGGATAGTTGGGCGACAACCGGAGGCGCCGGCAACGGAGCTTTCTTCGAAACTTGCCTAGAGTCCGCCACCCAGCCCTCGGAGAGAACTGTCCTTCCGCCCCCGTGAAATGTGCCCGTCTTCCTCGCTGCTAGCTATTCTACCGCGCACACTGCCTCTCTCACGCGCCTGTCTTTAACAAGGGAATAACCAACTAAAGACAATAAATTGGTTGTCTCTGACTTACTTACCTTCCAGAAGTAGATAACTGAGACAATCAATTGGGCATTCTCTAATATCAATGTTACACAGATAAGACAATGTGAGGGGTTCATCGTCATGTGTGTTGATACTAGCACGATATATTTGGCCAGGTGAGCCCACCCAGTCTCAATCGAGCCCAACGGTCTCGGTGGAAGCTTTCGGAAGGAAGCCAGAACGTGACCTAGGTATTCAAGGGCAGAAAAGGGCAGAAAAGTGGGTTAATGGAGCTCCGGGCGGCCCAGGGCCATTGATGTATGTCCGCCTATATCCACTGATGTGACGGTTGGGTTTCAACGCAAACACAGCACTCCGCGTACGATCCAACATACCTAGGTCAATAGCCAAGCTATGAATCAACCACAGTTATACTCATACGCTTCTGATAGTATCTAGTTTAATTATCGGTTCTAATAGAAGATTTATAGGTAGCATAAGACAGTAAAGGGCACAATAAACTATAGAGTCTTAACAAAAGTGCATCTTAGATGTTTCATATTTGCTCAAAAGTGATCCGTAGACTAGACTTAGCGCCGGCTATCTCTTAGCGGACGAGAGGTAACATAACATTATAGAACAGTTATTAGTGTAAGCTGGCTAGTCTTTTAAGGGTTAAAAGAGTCAGAAGTTATTTTCCTTATTATGAGATTACTATTTGTTAATAATTCATTTGCACTAGGTACCAGGTAGGTACATATATTTATATTTAATTAGGATCCCTTAGAAAGAGTCTTAAACTCCACCAATAGCTCATAGTAAAATGAATCTTGCACTCTTACAATTCACTTCGGTTAAGCTATATTAACCAACTCGCAATTGAGCCTCTGTAGTAGACTACCTAAGGGACCCAAAAATTAAGTAGCTGAGTCAAGTAAGCCTTGTTATATTCTTAGGCTACTGTGACATAGAGGAAAAAGAACTTCTCACTCTAGTCTCAGATAAATATATAGTTCTTCGTGCATTGGTAGAGTTGTGGTCCTATTTATTACTCCCGTCCTTGTAAATTTCGAATAACGGCCTGCATTGGTCACTATTATGTATCATCTTGTTATTTATTTAGCTTGTTACCGAGTTACCTTATTTCACTTTGATAATGTTAGTCAATCCTGTTTAAACTTAGCTTGTCTCTCGAGATAAGCTAATTTTCTCTTGTAAATAACTTGTTGTTAGGCTAGATTATAATAACGGTTACTATTTACACTTTAGGGGGCGTAATTCTCTACGATGAGCACCCGGCGCTTTTGATATTTGAAGTCAGAAATTCAAACCAAAGGGCCTCTCATAGCGATTGCCATTAGGCGAAACCTAAAGGCATAGAAAAAGATTCGTTGCTCCGTAAGGAACTCTAAACTTAGGCACCTATGAGAGCCTGCGGCTATACATATTAAAGTATTCTGTATCTCAGATACCTCATCTAGGATCCTAACAGTGATGACTATTTTTAGATTGAGGAATATAGAGAATATTTAACCCCAAGAAGCCCTGGGCTACACTTGTCTCATGTTATTAGTTTAAGATATCAAAAGACTTCGCTATATATTGTCTCAATATCCTAAAATTACAATTACAGTGATTATACTAAGAGAAGGATAGTCCAATAAGGTTAAATAATATAGTCAGTCAGACTAGTAGTCCCATAAGACTTAT